TGTGACTGAACTGGACCTACCTGTGTCTCTACCTGTGTCTCTACCTGTGTCTCTACCTGTCTCTACCTGTGTCTCTACCTGTGTCTCTACCTGTGTCTCTACCTCTGTCTCTACCTCTGTCTCTACCTCTGTCTCTCTACCTGTCTCTCTACCTGTCTCTCTACCTGTCTCTCTACCTGTCTCTCTACCTGTCTCTACCTGTCTCTCTACCTGTCTCTCTACCTGTCTCTCTACCTGTCTCTCTACCTGTGTCTCCCTGCAGCCTCTTCTTGTAGAGTCACTGCTGGACCTTGTTAAGCTCTGCTGTGGTGTGGACAGTCCAGGAGAGGTTTGCTGTGATCCTGGTCTCCAGGAGTTTGAAACGAGGGGATCCTCTCCAGTCTGTCTCCATGGATGTAGACAGGTGCAGGGCACCACCAGAACGAATCAGAACCGGGCCGAGGGCGGGGCACATGACCGGACCCTTTATACCCAAATAATAAACCATCATGTTACAACGTACACATGGCTGTAACAGCAGGGCTTACAAGCTTCAGCACCACGGACAGCGATCGGCTCAGTTTGACACTTGATGTATTGGACCTCAGCTTGTATCAGAAGCTGTAAAGTTGAGTAAAACTGGCCCAGCGGCCCTCATGTTCACAAACACAGGTACTTCAGGACGACTCAGCACTATCTGAAGGGCAAACGATGAGCCTTTGGCTCTGTGAACTCGTCCACGCTGCTCTGTATGTTCTCTGGTTCTCTGTGGACAACATGGCAGCTGTCTCTGCTGTCTCTGTGCTCCTCAGGTGTTTTTAATGAGTGTAACATGGAGAGTGAGCGCTCAGAGGTCGCAGCGATGACATCAAAAATAAGGGTGATTTAACCGTGCCAAGCCAGTAAAACGCTTCAAAATGTTTTGAAAGCATGAGGTGACGCAGTGATGATGTCATCACTCACATGACAGAGGGTTCTGGTAGATGCTGTGAAGCCTCGTCTCATGTTCCTTCACTAGTTCATCCTCCTGCTTTAATCACAAACTTCCTGTGGAAAAGTTCATTCAGCCCGGCCCGTTCTGTCCCAGCAGAACCTTGAGTCCATGGACCAGGGTGGGTCACTGTGTTGACAGTTAAAGTTGGTWGTTACTGCACAGGCACTAGTTTTTGACCACACCCCTGCTCATRGGCACAGTTTAGAACTTCCAGGATGTCAGACKTACATGTAGATTCACTATGTCAGAATAAAATGTCATGAATCTGGTGATGAATAATAGATATTGACTTGATCTGTCACTTAGATGTGTTTTTGTTAATTATTTGTGCAACAGATCATGTTACCAGACAGGAGTTAAAGGTAACACATGAGACCACTGGTGAACGTTCACAAACAAGTGTTTGTTGTTACCGAAAGGCTTTTAAAGAATTATTCTTTGAATAASTTGAACTTTAATTTAAACAATAAATTCTCCTGGACTTTATTGTCCATGAGAATGCAGACAAGAAATTGTTAAACTTTACATCCAATTTGAAACTGGATGTAAAAAAATATGTCCTTTCATGTCATTATGTGTAAACACATCCTGTAATCTTGTTTCAAAGATGACCAGAGTTCAGAAAACTGATCCAGGGACCAACATGGAGCTCAGCTCTGAAGTTTCTCCTGGCTGAGTGTGATCAGAGAGCAGGTGACCAATGAGCTGCAGGAAACAGTCTCCTCTCATTATCATCCTGCCGCCGCCCACCAGCAGCACCACGCTGCCTCTGCAGCCCCCACACTGATTCTTCTCCTTTCCTCCGCTGGTTGTCAGGGAGACAAACAGTTGTGTATAACAGAGAAGGAACCACAGGGGGATGGGAAGGATGGGAAGGATGGGAAGGATGGGAAGCAGCGTTCTGATCCACTTTTAGCCCAGTAGAACCTCACATCCACACAGGAAGGAGAGGGAAATGAAGGAAGCAGAGTGACAGCGTTTAAATTCTGTTGCTCTGTGTGTGTGACGTCAAACACTCTCAGCTACTACCACCTTATTTCTCAACTACTACCACCTTATTTCTCAGCTACTACCACCTTATTTCTCAGCTACTACCACCTTAT